AAGGAATCAGCTTGAAACTTTTGGCCATGGAACAGTTGCTCACACAACATCCTAATAAGAGGGGTGAAGTTGTTTTGGTTCAAATTGCAAACCCAGCAAGAGGCCGAGGAAGGGATGTAGAGGAGGTCCAATCTGAAACTAAGGCTGCAGTGAGGAGGATCAATGAGACATTTGGAAGTCCAGGGTATACTCCGGTGGTTTTGATTGACAGCCCACTTCAGTTTTATGAGCGCATTGCTTATTACACAATTGCAGAGTGTTGTCTTGTTACAGCGGTGAGGGATGGGATGAATCTGATACCCTATGAATACATCATATGTCGACAAGGAAATGAGAAGCTGGATGAGACATTAGGACTAACTCCATCAGCCCCAAGAAAAAGCATGTTGGTTGTTTCGGAGTTTATTGGATGCTCCCCATCACTGAGTGGGGCAATCCGAGTAAATCCATGGAATATTGATGTTGTGGCTGAAGCTATGAATTCTGCCCTGATAGTCCCTGAGCCAGAAAAACAGATGCGACATGAGAAGCACCATAGGTATGTGAGTACACATGATGTTGCATATTGGGCACATAGTTTTTTGCAGGATCTTGAAAGGGCATGCAGGGATCATGTGAGGAGGAGGTGCTGGGGAATTGGTTTTGGTTTAGGTTTTCGAGTCATTGCCTTGGATCCAAATTTCAGAAAACTTTCAGTTGAACATATTGTTTCTGCTTATAAGAGGACCAAGAACCGGGCGATTCTTTTGGATTATGATGGTACTATGGTGCTGCCAAGTTCAATTAGTAGGACTCCAAACATGGAGGCTGTTGGAGTCTTGAACAGCTTGTGTACAGACCCTAAGAATGTTGTTTTCCTTGTTAGTGGGAAAGACAGGGAGACTCTTACTGAATGGTTTTCTTCTTGTGAAAGGCTTGGACTTGCTGCAGAGCATGGTTATTTTGTGAGGTACAAATTGATTTTTATAACTCCATTTCAATTTTATCTTGATCTTCCCACTTAAAAATGTGATCTATTACTTAGACCCTTGTTTTCTAGTGATGTTTGGTTATGTAAAGAAGAAAAAAAATGGACAATGTGGCTTGGATTTTCCACTGGTTCAACCAGTTGTAGTCTTTGTTTTGGTGAAAAGGGTGATATCTTAATATCAGCTGTTAATGTTTGGATTCATATGCTATATCTGACATTGCTGAAAGTCAGCATGCTGTTTTTGTGCTATTACTTTAAGCACGGCTAAAATGCCTGCATATTTATAACTTATCTAACTTCTAGAAACCCGCATATAGGAAATTTTGATCCAAATATAAAGGATGAGATACAAATGGAAATGAGGAAACACATTTTATATCATTTGGCTTAGGTATCCAAACAATCACTCTAGCTATCCTTGCAATCATAAGTGAGCTTCCAATAGTAACCACAATTCTGAGATTTTGATACTGTTAGAAACATCAAAGGGATGGGTATTTAGTGTTGCCCTCAACCTAGGAATTAGGTATTTCTGATTGCTTGATAGGAAGACAGTGTATATAACACAAAGTATTCTACAGGCAGGAGATGATGTGCATGTGTAATTTTTTTTTAGGGGTGATTAGGACAAATTCCCTTTGCTTCACTATGAATTTATTATGAACCAAATAGAAAGCTAAATCAAATTACCTATGAGTTTAGACATGGGCTGGCTATCTCAGTTGGGTTACAGACAGAGCAAGGGCAACTAATGTCAGCATTTATAAAAATCTTGCCACATTTTGAAAGCTCCCTGCTCTCAGTTGGATTATTTTCTCTTTAGGTCAACTGTGTAATTTTGAGGTACTGCTATGATTATTCTTAATTTAGACTAATCCATACAAAACAAGCCTAGTTCTTTATGCACCCTCCAATTTGAGTTCAGTGTTTGTCTGCAGGATCAATCATGATGTAGAATGGGAAACATGCGTGTCTGTCCCAGATTTTGATTGGAAACGTATTGCTGAGCCAGTGATGAAACTATACACTGAAACAACTGATGGTTCTTCCATTGAGATGAAAGAGAGTGCTCTTGTTTGGAATTACCAGTATGCAGATCCAGATTTTGGTTCGTGCCAGGCTAAGGAACTTCTAGATCACCTGGAAAGTGTTCTTACCAATGAGCCAGTTACTGTCAAGAGCGGTCAACACATTGTAGAAGTTAAACCTCAGGTTAGTGCCTCGTTGTTCCTGTATCTACCCTTATGATTGTTAGATCCTGCTAATATTTGGTTTTTAATGAGAAAAAGGTATGTGTTCCTTGGTGCCTAGAAACCCACTGCAGATTTGGGTGCTATACCCCTCTTAATTTCAAATATACCATGCTACACTCAAATTTTTTTTTTGGCATGCTAAGGTATCACATACACAAGTAGGTAATGGCACACCTAATTCTCCTTTTGCTCATGCCTACAAGTACTGTTAACCATTATAACACATCATCTGACAACTTTGGTGAAATCACATGCATTTTGATGAAAGCGAAAAGCGAGCTCTTAGCAACTTTATGCTAACCTGAAAAGATGACGTGCCTTCAAACCATACTGGCCTAATTACAAGAAATCCTAAGTTCTTTCAGAGTTATGTTTCTGTTCATGCAGGCAGGTTGATTTGTTGTACTGATTAGCGGTTCATGTTAAATGATAAAATTTTGACTGTAAGAGTCTGCTACATAGCTTATTCTAACAAGCACTTGATCTTTGAAAGATGATTTTCTAAACACACTGGAGGGAGCATAATATGTTGATGGGAGTCATTCATTTCAGTCTGTCAAATGACCATATCAATGTGTTGTTTTTTCTGTTCCAGATTGTTAGGCCTTTGAAATAAGAGATTTTCTAGAATTCAGGTAACTTGTCCAACCATACTTCCATAAACGTGCCCCGCGCGTATCCTGAGAACAGTCACCTCTTGTAATGGAAAGACAATGAGTGTCTCCTTTTCTGTTGGTTCATGGACAATTAATTGTTCAAAGATGCTTGTTATTAAAATTAGCACAGCAGAAGGGTGGTCATCTGCAGTTCCATTCATTTTCTTTCATGGATCCTGAAATATTTGACCAGTTATTCTCTATGAATGCCTATTAGCTATGGAGTTTTTGTATTTTCATTCTTATATTTTCTTTTCTAGAGAAGATCTTCTAAATTCAGTGCCAACAAAACATATGTTTCAGCTTTGCAATTGTATCTCATGTTTGTTACCATTTGACAGGGTGTCAACAAAGGTCTTGTGGCCGAACGCCTCCTAGAAACAATGAAGCAGAAGGGAATGCTTCCTGATTTCGTTCTCTGCATTGGGGATGACCGGTCTGATGAGGACATGTTTGAGGTGATATTGAGTGCAAGATCCGGCCCTTCTCTTTCTCCAGTTGCTGAAGTGTTTGCATGCACCGTTGGCAGAAAACCCAGCAAGGCCAAGTACTACTTGGAAGACACATCTGATATTTTGAGAATGCTGCAAGGTCTTGCCAGTGCTTCGCAGCAGGCTGCTAGAAGTGCAACCCAATCCTGCCAGCAAGTGATTATTGACAGAGAGTAATAATCCCTTTCTCTTTGTATTGGGTTTTGTCTAAGTGTATATCCAAAATGTTCTCTGCTTGTTGCTTGAGGATTTCCTGAACCCCTTTGGGGCTTTCACGTGGTGTTCAGAATGATGTTTGGAGGTTTAGTTCCTGCGTTCCTGTCCATTACGTGGATAGCTTTCCAACTTTTGTTGCATAGTAATTGTAGCTTCGATCGCGAGTAGATAGATTATGCTATACGTTCAGCTCATTTCTTTTAACCTTCTTAGATGTTGCCCGGTTATGTGATCCTCTTATCTCATGGTCATTGATTGATTATCAAGGCTAGACCATCCCTGATCATGCTTAAGCACGTGCCAGCCACAATTTGCAAACAATTTTCTTCCTAACGACTATAAAACTGACTGGTCAGTTTGGTGGATGGTCTGCGGTTGAAAAGTAAATTCTGCCAAATTTAATCATCAACCCAACTCCTGGTATGAATCTATTTCTTTGTTAGTGCGAAGTAACCTGCGCCTGCATTAATGGGAATATTACCATCTCCAACTGGCGAAGAAGACTTGAATTGACCAGACAAAAAGAAAAAAGTCTTTAGTTATAGTGAAACAAAATCTCTGTTGGTTAATGTGTCAGTTTGCATTTTGCATCCAATCTTGGGAAAGTTCAAAGTCATATAATGTGACAGCAAGGATTATAATTTATATGTGCATTAAAATTTTAAGAGTACTGAATAAAATCTCGAAGACCTCAGAAGCTATATATTTAATTCTCGTTTTATCTCTTTCCTGGCTTTTATATGGAGTCGTGCTTTCCATGTGCCTGCATAATTAATTTTTCTTTCGGTCAACAGTATTAACTACTTCAACCTTTGCACAAATATAATTTTATAATATATAAAAAGTTACTAGAGACATATAAAGTAATTACTTTTTGTATCTATTTTTTAAAAAAATAGATATATTAAAAAATATATATATTTAAATTCATAAAAAAATGATAAAAAAATTTTCACATCCGTTTAAATTTTTTTATTTTCTCTCTTATGTTTTTTATTTTTTTATATGACTATCTCTCCCCTCAAAATGAATCCAAAGAATAATTACTATACATGTTACTAATTACTTATTTATTATAAAATTTATCATGCACATCAATCAATTTTTATTATCGTAACTTGGTCAACCATGCCTCGGAAGAAAAAAGAGGAGGAAAGCTATCCCTACCTTGTGAAGTGATTTATAGAATGGCATACCATTTTTATGATCGCATTTAATGCAAATTTCTTTGCCATAACCTTCTCTTTCATATCAATATATACTTTTCTTTTCTCGTTTTCAGCCGAAATGAGTTCAGTTTCTGGCAAAGAAGACACCAACGATGAGAAAAAGAAGAAATGAGGAGAAGAAAAGAAGCAACAGAAGGTTCCATTTTTGAAACTACTTTCATTTGCTGATTTCAAAGACTGTCTTAATGGGGTTAGGATCTGTTGGTGCAGTAGTTCATGGAGCTTTAATGCCTGTGTTCTTCCTTCTCTTTGGAAAGATGATAAATACCATTGGAACCACTCTTCCTAAAGAAGCTTCTCATGAAGTTGCCAAGGTATGCTAAAATGTATGATAGTGCATGTCAACATGCAACTTGTTTTTCTGTTCTGTTTTTCTTTCTTGATCAACCCTGAAAAGAAAAAACGATCTTGGGCTTTCTCCTAATCTTCTTAATTAATAGGATGGGTTGCCTGGTTCTATCAAAAGTATAATGGTTCTTCAAGTCAACAAATATATTGGCTCATTAATTTTTTATTTTTTTATTTTTATTTTTTTCATTTTCTCAATGACCTTTTTGCAGGACTCATTGGACTTTGTGTATCTAGGTGTGATTTCACTATTCACCTCATGGATGGGTAAGCAACGATGCTACACTAATTTTTTGAGTAAATTATAAATTAGTCCCCTAATTTCAAGAAAAAATATAATTGATCCCTCTTGTTTTAAAAATTATTACTTAATTCTTTAACCAGTGTTAATCATACTTAATTTAATATTATTTTTATTTCATAAAATGTTTTTTTTATATCAATCTTTTCATTTTTTTTCATATTTTTTTATTTCTTGAAACAAAAACAAAAATAAATTTTTTTAAAAAGCAAAAAAGATTAAGTTACTAGTAGATTTAAAAACATGAGAACTAAATAATTAGTTTTTAAAATGAAAATGATTAATTAATTTATTTTTGAAAACAAGAGGGACTAATTTATAATTTACTCCTAATTTTTGATATATAATTTATCTAAAATTTAATTTAGTTTTTAGACTACTAAATTAAGCTAAATACTATAAATTGTTACAAATACGTAGAAGTGGCATGTTGGATGCATACTGGGGAACGACAAGTCGGAAAAATGAGAATGGCATATCCAGAATCAGTGTTACATGATCAAGATATAATTAAGTTTATTTGATACAGAAGCATCTTGGAGAGGTCATAACAGCAATTACAAGTGATATTATTTGATGCGATTTTTGAATATTGTTGGCCCTTACTTCTACAGTCTATATTAAGGAAGAAAGCAAACTTCCTAACTGACCACTTAACCAATTTCTTGAAATTAAATCGAAGACATTATTAGAATAATCTTAATCTTGTTGTAATTCTAAAAATAAAATTTAGAAACTTTTTTATATAGCAGCATTATTAAAATATCAAACTTCATAAAATTGAAGTTGGATTTTATTGAGTTGTGTAGCTTGGAAACCTATTTCAGATTCCATTCCTAATACTCCTATTACAAACAACTCGATTTGCATGAGCTTCATTTTGTTATTTATCAATTCAAGAAATAGCTGACTTAATTAAATAAGATGCAACCGAAAAATTGGGCGATCAATTTTTTATTCCAGACATTGTATTTTTTCCAAATTGGTCCTTATACATTATATTTAATAATTGAATTGGTCCTTTTGTCAAAATATGCGATTATAAATAGCTGACTTATGTACATTTAATCACCATTAAATAGCTGAAAGTAATCATTTTCTGACGAATTTGGATGAAAATGCCAATTCAATAACAAAATATAATGTACATTAGTCAATAATTATAATAACAGAAAAATAAAAAGGTAAAAGATTCAAATTAACAAAATTGAAAGAGTACAACACTACAAGAAAACAAAGTGTTAGTTATTGTTTTTTAGCGATAATTTTTAAATCAGTTGCTAAAAACACGATTAGTAAAGGTTTTGAGTAAACGGTAGCTAATTTTTTGTGTTAAATGTTGATTTTTAACGACAGTTTTAAAAATATCGTAGAATTGGATAAATTGTGGTATTTTTAATGACGGTTTTAATTAAATAGTCACTAATTTTTATTTTTATTTTTTTGCTTTTTTAATTTACAGAGGCTCTAAGAAATCATCGCTAATATTGATATTTAGGGACGGTTTTTATAAAACGGTCACTAAAAAAGAGTATTTTAGCTACAGTTTACGCAAACACATTGGCCTAGTCCAACAAGAGCCAGCTCTTTTTGGCACATCGATCTATGAAAACACCATGTATGGAAAAGAAGGAGCCACTGAAGGAGATGTAATTGAACCTGCTAAGCTTGCTAATGCTCATAATTTCATTAGTTCCCTTCTTGAAGGCTACTCAACTAAAGTGGGTGAACGAGGGGTGCAATTATCTGGCGGCCAGAAGCAAAGAGTGGCCATTGCCAGAGCAGTTCTAAAGAATTCACAAATCTTGCTCTTGGATGATGCCTCTAGTGCTCTAGATGTGGAGTCAGAGCGGATCGTGCAACAAGCTCTAGACAGATTGATGAGGAACATAACGACAGTCATTGTGGCACATAGGCTGTCCACAATACAAAATGCAGACAAGATATCAGTTACAGAAAGTGGGAAAATAATAGAGCGAGGGACTCGTTCCAGTCCTATAGAGAACACAGACGGAACATATTTTAAGTTAGTTAGCCTTCAGCAACATCCAGATGGACATTACTAGTAACTGACCACGAGACAGATGGATTTTTCAGCATGCATACATACATATTACGTACAGACATAATCTTTATGATTATCAGACAAGTTAGAGAATGCTGTATAGCAAAAAATTGGCCTTTCCCATTCCATAATTATATTTTATTTATGCGTTCAATCTCTGTTAGTTACTTAGAAAATGGAGGAATTAAGAAAACTGGAAATACTAACAGGCACTAGAGTATTACGTTTTAATAATCTTTTGGTTTTGAAAATTAAAGCATCTAAAGCGAACAACTAACTAGTCTTGCAAGGACACTAGTGCGTCCAAGAAAACTCATCCAGTAAATAAGAATGATGTTGATGATACGTGGCATCCAAATTTGTTGGGCTTGATGCTCAATGTTTTTGAAAGGGTTGGAAAAATAGTGATATTATGGATGTCTATCCCTCGAGAAATATGGTCACAAACTTTTCTCGTAGGATTTGGTTGTTCATTTCCTGAGAAATATGGCCTTAAATTGTACCTCTAGCTAAGTATGCCTCCTAGAACTTTGCATTGTTTGGCTGAGTATTCCTTCTAAAATTTTGTACTGTTTCACTGAGTATGCCTCCAGAACTCTATATTGTTTGTCTAAATATGCTTTCTTGAATTTTGTACTATTTACATAGTGGAATGGCCCATCTGTTAGACCTTTTAGTGTGTGAGAGCTCTTTTTACCGATTTGACAAAGTGAATTCCTTGAGGAGTGATGGACTCTAGAAGGGGTAGAGATTGATTTCTAGTGAGTTAGTGTAGATGACTCATCCGATGAAGGATTTACCAAGACTTGTGACGCTGCTTTCTTCTTGTTAGGACTAATCCGACCATCTAGCACTTGGTGGTGACTGGCCTCTAATAGGTGTCCGACCAGACAATTTTCCTCCCTTTTTTTTAATTAGATTTTGTGCCATCTTTTTAGTTAGTCTAGTCAACTTGGTCTACTTGGGTTTATATTAGGTGGTGGAAGTTTGCTGATTACACTCATACAAGTCTGTCCCTTGTTTTACTCTATTATTATTTTTTATCCCAGGTCTATCTTGACTGGGTAAGGGACCATGCATCGAGCCAGGTATCCTTTCTAATTTGTATAATTAGTTGATATTTGTTGAAAATAATAGAGACTATGATAAATGGGTGTCATCATCATAAGTGTGTTGCAAAAAAAAGCATGACTATGTAATGGCTTTACTTTTTTTGTTTATTTTTCTAACATCTTTTTCATCACAATAATAAAATATCAACAACCAAAATAATTGATATTTTTTCTAAAACGGTGTTTAGATAGGTGGATGCATGTATATCATAGAGTCTCAGCAATCAAATTTACATAACAAAGGAAAAAACAAATGACGAAAAGTAAAACGAACAAAAGAAAAAAAAATCAAACAAAATGCAATGAATAGGTGAACTGGATGTGCAGCTACAGTACAGTAAGTGAACAGCTGCACATCCAGTTCTTTTAGTTTTTTTTTTTTTAATTAGTACTATTTAAAAAGTACATGAGTATGCTAGAGACAAAATGATAATATAAATAAATAAATTATTCATTTTCTCCACTAGGAAGGGATGATTATGACATATATGTACGTTATTTTTACAATGATGCGTTTTTTGAACTAAAAAAGATGCTATTTCATTTGAGTGATTGATACTTAAACTAAGTATGTGTTGTACAACCAGATCTTTTTTTTTTTTTTTTTTGATATTTAGCAGTTGTACATAGCATAGGAGAAGGAATGTGATTGTTGAAATTTGCTGATTTCCCATTTGTAATTTGCAGCTTGTTGGTTTTTTTTTCGATGGGTCTTTGGATGTTAGAGTGAATGTGTTAGGAGCATAATCTGTCGAGTATAACAAAGATGATGTTGTTTCCACTAGGTGGTTCATCGTCTACAGCTGCATGGAAAAGGTCTATCAAAAAATGAAGCAGAAGACTAAGAAATTTTATGGTTTTGTTGGTGGGTCTCTAAGGGAAGGAGGAGGATACCACTATTTTTAATTTGGAGGCTTAAAAAGCCATGGAGAAGTTTGGAGATTGTATAAATAGTTGAGAAACTAGCTTTTTTTTTTTATCAATTCACCACAGATGACGTCAAATGACGTGTCCAAAAAAATTTGTCCAGTAAATGAGAATGATAACGATGCATGAGATTTTGACATCAAAATTTGTTATACTTGATAACTAGTCTCATTGAGGGATTTGGATAATTAGTAGTAATGTCTTCTGAAATCCTCCAAGCATGGAACATACTCATTGATGTTAGTAGTGCCAGAGGTGCCTGATATAGCCACTCTGATGGTTAATTAAGTAGTTTAGATATATTAGATATGTTTATTTTGTCTTCATTGAGCTTGTGTTTGTTTTATGAAAGGGAGAGTTCTTGTCTATAGTAAAAAAAAATAGATATAAGGTATATTTTTAGAATGTTGGATCAAATGATTATGAGACTTAAGAAAGAAAACTCATAATAATGAGAGGGTTTAGTTTTGATGGACTTTATGGGTAGCTCAAGTTTTATGTATCATCATATGCAATTTTATTTTTCCTTCAAGGTTGTCAAAACTAAAGAACTACTCTAAAAAAAAAAAAAAAACCAAAAAAATCAAAAGGAATAATTTTTATTTTAGCTTTATATTTTTCAATTTTGAAAAAAAGAAATCATAAATTATCCAAATGACACATAAGGTTGTTAGTTACTCATAATTTCAGTAGTTCCTTTGTCGAGGGCTTTTCAACCAACTTTGTTGAATGAGGAGTGCTTTTTATCTGCAAGTGACTGGAGGCAAAAAGCATCATTGTCTTAGCTGCTGGAAAAAAAAAATAAAAAATAGATGCGGCTACCAGGATTTAGAAATAGAGAGAGCAATTAATAAGGAACCAAGCAGTATGAAGGTGGCACATGGGTTGTCCAATATAAGAAGCACATACCAAATATTAGTTATTCAAGGTGTAAAGTAGAATCATTGTAGTCTTATAAAGATGTAGCATAGTCTTCGGTAGCATCACTAACAAGTAACAACTGATAACAAGAGAAACAAAGAAATGATCATTTCTGCATGTGCTTTCTTAATTGTTGTATGAATATGCTTCTATTTCTTTTTCCAATTGATATGAAGAAGCTAGTTTGATGTGAAAGAAATTGAATATTATAATCACACACAAGGCCTAAATATCAAAAAGAGAGGTAAGATTCTTGTACCCTCTTTTGTCTCCATTAAATCAATGATGTTCTTTGTTCATACCTTTTTTTAGTTCAACAGTTGAATGGGAAAAAACCAATTTGATTTTTAGATTAGAGCACTCTCAAATACTATATATTATTATATTTAGTTATCAGCAACTATCATTAATTTCATATCAATTCAAAAATATACATAACAAAAATATTGAAAAATATACAATTATGGAAAAAAAAAAAAGAAGTTATCTTCTTCTTCTCAATTATTACTCATGCTAGCTTTTGATGTCATTTTTTAAGTTGTTGAAGCCTAACTTAAAGTATGCACCATCTGTATTCTCTATAAGACTAGAATGAGTCCCTTGCTCTATCACTTTCCCTTTTTGTATAATTGATATTTGATCTACTTTATAATGGATAACCTATATGTCATCATGACTATTGTCTGGTTCTTCATCAATGTGTCCATAGCTTGTTGCATAAAGTGCTTTGATTCCCCATATAAAGCAAACTACCATATATAAAGCTTTATGTAGTAGCTGGAAAATGCTTGCTAAACAATTGAAAACCACTGTATTACACATAATGTAATGCTTCATCAATCGCTACATCTAACTAGCACTACACTAGATTAATACGAGTGGCTTCTATGTACAATAGCAACATAAAACTTTTCATTGCATAAAATCCTCTAATTGTAGTGGTTATTTTATTACTTTAGGCAATGGTTTAGATAATGATGTAGCATCGATTTAAGTCAAAGCGTATGCAACGATTCTCATAATATATGCAATGTTTTTTTTAGTTAATTAATGTAATAGTTTCTATCAAATAATACAATGATTTATCTAATTTATTATGGAATGGTTTATAAATCATTGGCAACGATTTTTCTTTTGTGTTAGGCAACAATTTATTTTAATACATGATTTTTTTATATGTAAACTAGCATTTTCTATCCGTAATGAAATAGTTTTATAAAAGAATAACAACGGTTTGTGAAATCCGAATGCAATGATTTATCATGGTAATGCAACAATTTATAAAATATTTAATATAATAATTTATAATATTGTTACAATCAATTTTTATCTAACCGCATTAGATTTTTAGTCAATTACAACAATTATCATGTTATTTGTAATAAGTTTTAAAGACAATTCCAAATATTAATTAATTATGAGAAAAGTATTAATCTAAACAATTTCTTAACATAATTCCGAACGTGAACTAATCTATTTTATATATAAAAAAAAGTGATAATCCAAATATTTAAACAAACATTAAAAATCACAAAAAAGACCAATATTTGAAAAAAAGTTCAAAGTTTCTATTAAACAAATTTAGTAGACTAAAGTTCAAAGTTCAAAAAGCATAACAAGATACTAAAGTGTCAATCCTAAAGTTACCCACCAAATTCTAGTAGTTCATAACACTAGGCAACCCGCAATTTTAGGGGAAAAAAAGATTTATTAGCAATGAAATATATTAATTGTAATGAACTCGGACCGTTACAAAACCCTCAAAAAGCAATAAATTTTGTGATCATAACTTTCAAAAGAAATAATTGAACTTGTATTTTTATCAAATAACATATATAAAAAACGAGTATCTAAAGATTATAGTTACTTGCTCAATGAATGTGAATTTCTTATATGGTTCCTTATATTTGGTTCATTATTAGCATCTCTTGGGGATCGAGTAGTCATAGCCAATGTCTTGAGCATCTCAAGATTCACATTTAGGCTCGGGTTCAAATCTTAAAGTTGCATCAGGATCGATAACATTATTTCTTGATGTAAA